TCTATTTTAGGTTACATTTAATGTCGGTTGTCATAATAACGTTAAGTCTTATCGTACCCCGCCCAGAACAATTTGCGATAACTCTCTTGATACCTGCGTTTCAATAGACCGTTATCCGTTATTTACGTGTTGAAACGGTATTAACGTTTGACGTTGCGATATCTCTCTAAAGAAATACAGTGCGTTAAGTTTTGGATTAGGTATACACTCTATAAATGGCAACACTGCGCGTCGTCAACTTGCACTACATATCTGCTTCGTTGACTCGTCGTTGCACGTCGCCCGTCGGCAAATTTGTCCTATTGTCATTATACCGTGGTTGTTTAAAGGTATAACAGCGTAGAGTTTTAATTTATTTTTGTAAACATGTCTGTTTATATGGCCGCGGAAAAAGCTCAAATAATAAAATGGTTTTATAGTGGCAATTCTGCGCAACAGTGTGTAGATTTATTTTCTGTGTTTTTTGAGGGAAGACCAATTCCTTGTGTACAGTCAATTTATAATATTGTTAAAAATTTTGAGAGTTGTTATTGCCTCAAAAATTGCAGAAAATGTCATGCTCGAGAAGTGTTACCAGAAAAAGTTGAGGAAAGAGAATATCGGGATACACAAATTTGTGTGCAACAATCGAGGTAGATTCAACACGTTCAAGTAGAAGCGTTGCTAGAGAGTTAGATATTAGCAATGTTACTGTAACGAAAGTATTGAAAAAGCACGGTTACAAGAATTTTAAATATTCGAAAACGCAGCAGCTTTATCCAGACGATTACTTTCGAAGAATGGAGTTTTGTGAAACTCTAATAACGAAGGCTAATAGTGAACCAAATTTTATTAAAAACATTTTATTCACTGATGAATCTTCTGTTTAGTTAGTAGGGAGACACAATCCTTCCATTACGAGGTATTGGGCGCGGGAAAATCAGCACAGAAGTGTTGTTTACCGAACTCAACGTCCTCAAAAAGTTAACGTCTGGACTGGCATTTTAGGAGACCACATAATAGGTCCATTTTTTATTGAGGGCAACTTGAATAGTAGAGTATACCTCGATTTGTTACAGAATCATGTTCTTCCCGCTATTCTCAATCTTCCTGATGTAAATCTGGAGAATGTTTGGTTTCATCAAGACGGCTGTTCAGTTCACAACGCTCGAATTATTGGGAGTATTTAAACAATACTTTCCCGAATCGAGTTATCAGTGGAACAGGCGATATTAAGTGGCCTGCGCGATCTCCAGATCTTACACCCATGGACTTCTTTTTTTGGGGACATTTAAAAAGCATTATCTACGCTCATCCTGAGGCTAGAGCCCAAAATTTGGATGAATTAAAAAATCGAACAAGAGAAGTCTCCAATTCTGTTACAGCAGAAACTCTTTTCATCTGTTCGCAGAAGTTTTTATGGCAGATTGGGGTACTGTTCAGCCGTAGAAGGTCAACTATTTGAACCATTTCTGTAGGTCATAAAGAATTATTTTTTATTTTATTAGGAATAATAGTTTAATTTTCAATAAGAGTATATTTTTTATTTTATCTTTTTAAAGAAATACGCTTTTATTTTTAATTCAACCACAAAAAAATTTTCACATTAATAAAAATCGATAACAATGCATCTAATGGATTAGGTCAGTGCATTTTTATCGAATTTCCTACTATTAAAATCGGCTTTACGTAATGAAACATGAAATCGGACGACAGAGAAGTACATCCCTAACGTTGTTGTGAGTTACTAAACTAAAATAAATGATTTTCTGTCGGTGTAGATTTTCGGGTCGGAGAACGAACATTTGCAACGTTGCCGATTTTAGCGCTCCGTATAGTGTGCAATACCTAATCAAAAACTTAACGCACTGTATCAACAAAGACCAAGATGACAATATACAAAACAATATATAGACCTACAGTGACATATGGAGCAGAAAATTGGATATTAAACAAAAGACATCAGAGCAGAATTCAGGCAGCAGAGATGAAATACCTCAGAAGAACGATCTGAGTAAAAAGAACTGATAGAAGCAGAAATGAAGAAATAAGAAAAAGACTCAAAATCAAACTGTTACTCGACTCAATCAAGGAGAAAAAATTGGCATGGTTCGGACATCTAACCCGGATAGACAATAATAGATAAGTAAAAAGGGCGTGGGGCGCCAAACCAATAGGGAAGAACAGAAGAGAAAGACCCAGTAAAGAATGGAACAGTGACATCTCGCAGATACTGCAGAGTAAGGAGAAGATTTGACAGGAAGCAACACAGATGGCATCCAATAGAAAGGAATGTAGAAAGTACTTTTAGAGCTAGGACACCTCAGAAGATTGTAAAATATTGTAATTTAATGAATTGTATTATAAACGGCCCAACACCGAAAGGTACAAATGGGTCTACTGATTAAGTAAAGTCAAATGCCTCACATTTGATACCACAACTCAAAACTAAAACTATATCCTGGTTTTGAAGATTAGGCTCTAGTAATTGAAACTTTGTAACGATATTCTGATCGTTTAACTGTCCGAACCGTGGGAGTGTCTATATTCGCGCATCCACTTCTACAACGAGACGACGAAGTGGGATTCGGAGCGGCTATTTAAGGCGAGTGACTGGCGGAATTAGATAATCTTGTAGCTAGCGCTCTAGGCTCTCTGACTCGCCGGTGTAGTGAACCTGCGAGCCAACCCGGACAGAGAGATTTCCGTATTGAGGATCGTACTCTGTCCTTAACCAAGCAGAACCCATCGGTATTGTGAATTGAACATTACCGTGGGTCTGCACAACCGAATATTTTGTTTGCGAGTGCGTTCGGAGCTTCCGCTGAATTGAAGTGGAAGCAAGTATAAGTCTGCGTGCGATCGACTTAATCTATTTCATTTCTTTGTTAGTAATAATAATTTTTTTTCTTTTATAGACATTCGCCGGGGAGTTCACTCATCGCGGGATCCAGACGGGGACGTAGAATTCATTTTATTTTTATTTATTGTATATATGCTAAATTAATAGATTTATTTTTATTTCAACCTGTGTTTTACTGAGTCTGTCGCCCCGAAAGAGCTAGCCGCCACAAACTGGCGCCTGAGCAAAAAAGACACAGACTCAGTAACAGGTACGTCGTGGATAAACCGACTTTGCAAAGCGGAATTGCAGACCGAGGCCGAAAAATGCGGCTTAGGTCCCAAGGGAACCGTCGACGAACTGAGAGTACGAATCAGAACCTATTTTAAAAATCGCGAGGAAGCGACAGGAACAATCCCAAAAGAAAAAACCTCCAAGGGAGCAGAATCCGACATACTGGCCCACGAAATTTCGGTCATCCAAAGACAATTACAGAAATTAACAATAACGAAACAAATGGGGCAATCAGAATTGCTAAATCAAGTACGAAGGTGGAACACACACTTCAACAAGAAACATACGGATGCAATAGAATTCTTAGAGAGGATAGACGAATTAAGCTTGGGCTACGAGATTGATAAACAAGATCTACTAAGAGCATTACCAGAATTATTAGGAGACCATGCTTTGTTATGGTACGAAAACAATAACAAAAATTGGAAGTTATGGACAGATTTTAGCGAAGATTTTAAAAAAGCTTTCTATCCCAGAGGATATTTGTTATAACTAGAGAAGCAAATCCGAAACAGAAAACAGAGACAAAACGAACCAGTGGATAGATATATGATGAAGATTCAAACATTAATGAGACGAGAATCGTTTTCCAGAAAACAAGAACTCGAAAGGATATACAAGAATTTGTTACCAGAATATAAGCTTTAGGTCGCCGCCGGGATTTTGAAAACTTAACCGAATTACAAGATTTAGCCCAAGAATATGAAGCTTTAGAAGACGAAAAGACCCGATCAAATCAAATTTGCCGTGGAAACTGGAGACGTATGGAACAAACAGAGTATAATGCCAAAAAGACATGCTTTAGATGCAAGATGCCAGGTCACTGCCGTAAAAACTGAAAAACCCATGGAAAAAGTTTTGTTCGTGTTGTGGCAGAGAATGCTTATATTCGGCCTAAACTGTTATGAGTGCCCTGAGGCACTGTTTTACCTTTTGTCTACCTGACATATCTGGAAACGAGCAAGCTACATCTGGATGATTTTTTTGGAGTTTTTACGCGCTAATTATACTAGAAAAAAAAATTGTCATTCATTTTTTTTTCACATTGAGAGTTTTGACTCTTTTAAGTAGGATGTTTATGACTCAAATTAGAAATTTGTGGAAAAATGTAATTAGGGATGCCAAATCTCATATGGATAAAAGCAGAGATAATGATAATGTATTTTATATTTATTTATATTGTATACCTAGCGCCAACCACATCTACCTATGTAACATAAATCATTGCATAACTATATAACCAACAATAACCTATTACAGTAAATAAAAAAATAATTTCTGAATAATTTGGAGAGTTAAAATTGCTATGTCCTTGAAAAAATAAATGATATAGGATATTCAAATAGTTTTAATTTTTCTAATCTATCAATTCCTAGTACCACAAAATCTCCTAAGACATGAATTACTTTAATTACTAGCTAAATTATTGTCATCGCTTGAAAAGTAGACATTATTATGTTTAATTTTCTAAGAAATTCAAAATCTAATTCATAACATTAATATGTCTATATTCTTTGCTAATACCTAAGTATATAAAAATATTTGTAAATTTTGCACAAAGCAATAATGAAAATTAAAATGTATTAAATGAACTTTAACATGACTAAGATATATTTTTTAATTAATATGTATACAGTTTAGTAGTAAGCCATCAAACACGTGTTAATGTTGAATAAACAATAGTAAACAATTCCTCATCCGTTCACGCTGCTCCAAAATGATGCACAGACATGCTTTAAATATTTATCTTTCTGATTATTTATAAATGTAAACATAGCGATAAAGAATCACAATAAAACATAACCCAACCAGAATTTTGAAAGAGCAGTTGCAAAGGATTCAAAAATAGACATTAGAATAATATTGCGTCTTTAGCATTTCCTACCTGAACATCAAGGCTGATTTTTTCCACAGTGCCAGTTCCATTGTAGAAGTCAACGTTAAGTTGATCTCTAGTTAATTTCTCTTCAAAGAATTGTCCAAGGTATCTTTGTAATAAATATGCACAGACATTTTTCTTTATACCTTCTGGTAAAATGTTTTGATACCACGACATTTTACCAGAATAATCTTCATGGAGCACTATTCACGTTCACCCTTTGTTTGATACATTGACATTGACAGTTTACGACGTGCAAAATATTTTGACTAAACAGGAAACAGCTGTTTCCATCATGCGCATCGTGCCAAAAAGTGGGAGGGATAGTAAACAAAATCCAATGTCATAATATAATTTTATTTCATAATTAATAATACACTGAATATACCAAAAATGAAGTAAATATATTAAGGTAATTAACAGGTACACGAATATGTGGTGGCATGAATCCAATAACTGAAAATTCGATCATCAAAATATATGAACGTGGCTGTCTTACCCACTGTCTCGTAGACGCTAGAGAAAATGATCATTTTTTTTCTTTTTAAATCTGACAGTTCTTGAAATAGGTTAGTAAACTTTTCTGATGAAATTTTATTCTACAGTATTAAATATAAATACAATTATTTCGTATTTAAGTGATAATTATTTATTGATCTACATATACAACCATTTTTGACGTGGTGTAAGTATCTTTCTACCACACTTTTCTTTATAACCATATGTTTGCTTGTGATATCTAACTTAAATTACAATATTCCTTTGATGCTTTTATAAAAGAATATGATATACTGGTTCATAGCATATTCATTTATGCTAAAAACATGTTCAATAAAGTATTAAATTTAGTTTTAGTAAAATTAACTAAACAAAAAAAATGTCTGGAGATATAACAAATAACATTGAAGCATTAAAAGTAAATGCAACTGAACATGATGATGATGTGGTGGATCCATGGACAGTAACAAGTACTAAGGACACTGGGGTTGATTATGATAAATTAATAAGTAAGTAGAACACGCTTAGATCCTTTCATTTATTATTTGTACATATTTTCATGTATTCATAGCAAAAAATCCACTGTAACAAACTTGGTTTGCTATCAGTATTATATAATATCTCATAAGGAAGACTGAAAAACAGGTAGATGCAATATACACAGATTTTTCTAAAGCATTTGATAGTGTAGATTACCAAATAGTTTTGGGCAAATTAATTTATGTAGGGTTTATTGTCAGGTTTGTTAGATGAATTAAAAACTCTACACCTGGGAGAAGTCAAATAGTCAAGATCGGTTGTAATTGGTCTGACAGAATCACAGTAACATCTAGAGTTCCTCAAGGAGGCCACACTTCTCCACTTTTTTTTAATATATTCATTAACAACATCATTTCCTGTTTCCTAAATAGCAAATGTCTAATGTTGGCAGATGACTTGAAATTTTGGAAAGTTATAGATAGTTTAAAAGATCAAGCATTGCTACAAGAAGACTTAGACCAACTACAAAATTGGTGCAATCAGAACAAACTCCTCTTAAATGTAAAACAATTTTGTTTTACTCGTAAAGTTAATAGAATTAGAACAAGCTATACTATTAATAATCAGCCACTGAATTATGTTTCTTCTATTTGGGATATGGGTGTTATTTTTGATGAGAAGCTTATTTTCTATGACCGCATAAACTATATTTCAATAAAGGCATCTAAACTTCTTCATTTTATTACTAGGAATTGCAATTATTTCTCCATTAATTCAACAATATTAGTGTATTGTTGCTTAGTTAGAACTATTTGGAATACTGTTCAGTTGTTTGTTAGTAACCCTATTTTCAGAACAATATTGATACCAAAGAAAGAGTCCAGCATATATTTTTGAGATATTATGCTTACCATGTCCACACTGCTATTGAAAATCATGATTTATCCATTAAACTACACAGATTTATTCCCATCTCACATTATATCCTGTATAAATTGATAAATTTAAGTCATGAAATTCAATCTTTATCATATTTTGTGCCTTATAATAATTAATTATTCAATAATCTTTGTGATAACTCTGAATATTCTAGGTTTGTTCCAACACGCAATGTTTGTATGGCCTGGACACCGTCACGAAACTACTTGTACCGTTTTTAATGTGCATGTTCATCATTTGTATCGTCTGATGACGGTAATTTGGAAACTGATGTTGGAACGAATTTCTGACAACTGACATAATTTGGTGACAATCTATCTAAATAATTCTGGTTTTTCACCCTAGGTTTGGCTAATAGCTTCAAATCATCCTCACTACTATAATAATCAAGAAAAATCACTAATTCCTTCGTTGTCAGTCATATTTATAAAGTTAAAAATAACGAAAAACAAATATATAAATAAATAACAAGTCTATCATAAGCACCTGATAAAATCATTAACCTAACTTCTTTTTTTTCTGAACAAATTTACAAAATCTAAGTTAATTTAGGACCAACAAATTTAAAGAAGTAGAATAAAATTCTAGTGCGCAAGTCATCCCAACCAGTACATGCGTTTGCCAGATTACTGAAATTATCATCACCGAACCGTCACTGGGCGATCACAATTTTTGTTGGAACTGTCGGAAGGACCATGAGATGGACGATCATATTTTTGTTGGAATGTATTTTGTTTAATGTGCAGGAGTGTAACTGTTACGTGACAGTTTTTCGTTGTGTTGGAACAAACCTTCTATAATTTTAATTGAAAAGCAGTTTAGTTGTTTCTTTTTTATTTTTTGTTTTATTTCCATTTTAGAAAGATTTGGCTGTTCCAAAATAGATCAGGAACTGTTAGATAGATTTGAAAGAGTAACTGGAAAGAAGGTGCACCATCTTTTGAGAAGAGGTATATTTTTTTCACATCGAGATATGCATTTAATTTTGACAAATTATGAAGCTGGTAAACCTTTTTACCTCTATACTGGAAGAGGTCCTTCATCCTCATCAATGCATGTGGGACATTTAATTCCATTTCAGGTAGATAAGAATTTTACCATGTCTGTATATTTTCAACTTGGTGTAAGAACTAGACAGACATATTTCTTTTTATCCTTTAAACTATGAACAAATAAATTAACTAGTTTTGCATAGAGGTGATGATAATGAATTTGTTGTGTATATTACATATGTTTTTAGATTTGTAAATGGTTGCAAGAAGTTTTTAATGTTCCTTTAGTAATTCAACTTACTGATGATGAAAAATCTTTATGGAAGAATCTTACTATAGAGGAAGCAAATCGATTGGCATACGAAAATGCTAAAGACATCATTGCTATAGGTTTTGATCCAGACAAAACTTTTATTTTCTCAGATTTTGACTATTTTGGGTAGGTATATCTGTTTAGTTAAGAAATTCAGTGTTACAAATTAATTAAACAGTAAAGTTTGGAATGTGTGATGCTAGAATATCTTTTGAATCTAAAAGGTCCACACAAAGAATAAAATAGAGACATTTGAGATGTGTTATCAAAGAATGCTGAAATTTTCTTGGACTACACACACCCAGCAATGAATATGCTAAATAAAGCTAGAAAACTCCTAAATATCAGAACAGGAAAAGTTAGCAGCTTTGGACATGTAACAAGAGTCAGTAAGTATTAAATTCCTTGCCTAATTATACAGGGAAAAGTAGAAAGTAAGAGACAAATTAGGCATAGAAGACTCTCATGGTTGTGAAATATAGCAGGTTCAATCAGACTGGTGTAGAGAAACTTTTCCATGCTGCAAATGATCGAGAAAGGTTTAATGACATTGTCACAGTGATAGACAACATTTGAACAATAGGCATGACTCAAAAAAGGTGTTAAAACCAAATTTTATTGAAAAGTCCAATGTGAAAGCAAGTTTAACACAAATGTTGGAAAATTACTATATTAATATTCAGGAAAACTAAAAAAAAATATGTGTCAAAGAATAGTTTATTTTACTTTGACATAAAGGAAAAAACATGATGTTTTAGGTAGTTGAGGGAATGTCACTGAGATGTGGCTCATATTACATATCTGTATATTCCTTATAATTGACTATACTCTCTGAAGAATCTGGATGAGGTGATTCTGTGAATGTTTGAAAATTTTTTAAATTCAAAAAACATTTTCAAAGTTTCGTTATTTAAATTTTTTAATGTACACATTTTGTTTGTTTTTTTTTTATTTATTTACGCTGTAACCACAAGCGTTATTAGTGAACTAAAAAATATAATACAGTTTGAGTTAGAAAAAATTACAATAATTGATACATGAGTTATGTTTTTCATAAGGCTTCCTTTATATTATTTGGGATAAGTGCTTCTTTCTTGCTGCTTCATATGTTTTGCACTGAGTTAGTATATGCTTCGCAGAGAGTGTTACTTGACAATTTTCACACATTGGTGGCACAGTTCGCGTAAAGAGGTGTTTATGTGTTAAATCACTGTGCCCTAGTTGCAAATGTGTTATTCTCACTTGGTCATGTCTATTTGCTATGGGTTGGAGCCACGGTTTCACTAATTGTTTGATTTCCTTAAGTTTATTTTATAATGCACTGTACTTGTTTTGCCACGCACTTAACACTTAAAATTTTATTTCTGACTTGAAGTCATCAGAAGAAACCTCATTAATAAGAATTGAGTCCTGGCGGAAGGATGCTAAGTGGGCTAGTTCATCGGCTTCTTCATTTCCTGGTATACCTGAATGTGATGGAACAAACATGAAGCCAACAGTAATCTTATTATTCTTTAGAGGAATTATTTACCGGTGAGTCAGAATCTTCTTCCAACAATGAAGTTTTCACTGCAGGGAGTAAACTTATGTGTTTGCCAAGTTTTCGTATTAATTTGGTGCTTTTGGTTTTCATTCTTTTGTTGATGTAGCATGGATGTAATTCCGTTAGAAACTTTATAATCGCATGATAGTCTTCTAAGTACAATTTTGTTACGCTGATTATGTCTTTTGATCCTTGTATATTTTCGAGTAGATCCACTACTTGATCAAAGCTTAACAATTGCTTTTCCCTTTCTACATATTCTCTAACTGGTTCTAATAATGTTTGGAGATTGGGTATCACATCTCTTAAGTTTTTGTCATCAGTTTCGTTTTTTTTTCTTTAATTGAAGCTAAGGTTTTTCAAAGTTTTCTTCGGCTGGTGGCGTGATTGTATCTTCTAGGGTTCTTTTTCC